TCAACGTTGTGTTCTCTTAACGTTTGAGCACGAGCTTTGCTCAATTCAGCTGCTTTTCCTAATTCAATTGCTTTTTCCAAACTCGGATTATTTTCTCGCAGCATCCTCTCCTGTAAACTGAACTGGCATCTGATACTCCAAGGACAATGCGATCACGTATTACAGAGTCACTCTGCTCACCAAATTCGCAAGATTTTACAAGTTTTTTCAGGTCAGTTACGAAACAATCAAAAAGTTCCCCTTTTCTTGTTTTCTTGTTTTCTCTTATTGAATAAAAATCTCTCCACCACAACATTTGTTCTAGGTGTCGTGAAAGCTTCAAACCTCTCAAGCACTTTTTCATAGTTACCCTGATCTCCTGTTGAAAGATTGAACGTGTTGAACATTTCAACTGCTTCCTCACCAGCGACATTTAAAAATAAAGCAACTTTCACATCTGAATCTTTTGAAGCATTTCCTGAAGCTTTCATATAAATCTGGAACAGCTGCTTGAATCTGCGCCAGTTTTCAGCCACATTGCCGTCGAAACTTGGGCATTGCGGTGGGCAACAAAATTCCATCTTGCGTCTGCTGAGAGGAAAAACAGCCAAGGGAATTGATTGCCTGGCAATTAGTTGTAATACTATTCCACACGACTACGCCATGTTTTAATTGTATTAATATTTATTGATCTATAATTAAGTCATTGCAACACGTTCACATAGCACATTGTTTATTCCACACGAACGTTAACTGACTATCACTTCACTTCAGTTTGACCAGCAACTAGTGTGTTGCCACATATATGTAACAATTACTTCTAGGAAGTTTCATCTACTTTCTTCTTTTACTTCTATTTTACTTTTACTCATAGGAAGTTGGTTAGTTTAACTGAAAACAATGAAACATTAGGGTTACCTGCCTAAGGAGTAGTATGCTTTTGTGAAGGTTACTGTAAGGAAAACTGGTTAATATTTGTATTCCAGACAGAAAAAAACAAAAATTCCTATGCAGCTAGGCAGTATGCCGTGATTTGAGTTCAAGTCGAACGATCAGGATTGTGTGGGCTAATACAGTCAGCCACCAGAAGGCTCAGTTTCATAGAAAACTGCTAGAATCAAGGCATTGATAATTTAAAAATTCACTATTATATTGCATTTGCTAAATTTCCATGTCATATGGCTATAAAATTCCAGCATAGCACGCAAAAGTTTAATTTTCTTAAATAGTCGTGGGCCAGCCAACAGTCAAGTGGTAATATCATTGAACACTATTAGTCGATCTGGGTTTAGTTCTAGCAAACAGACTGAATGCGTGAATGCTTAGTTTTCTTTGGGAAGTTTTCCACAAAGGCATCCCTTAACTAGGCAGATAACACTTACTTATTTTGTCATAATCAAGTAAACTAAATTAAACCTAAAACACATGTTTTTACATCTTTTTAAAGGAAGTTTCACATTCAACATCTATAGAGATAATTTTACTCATTCACATATTTCGCCCATTTGAATATTTAAGAGGGTAATTATAATGCTATTTTGGCTGAAGAAATGCATCTTTACATATAAGTTGTACAACTGTATAAAATATTTTACTCCTTATATGCAGATAACATACATTTAAAGAATATCAAATTTATATGTAGAAATATGGCTTTAGGATGAATATTGTACAAATATATTTTGGAAAGACAATTTAAGGGACAAAATATTGTGTAATATTCATTCTAAAACAATATTTTCCTCTTCATATTCATTCTTTCTCGAAACTGTCTGGTTTTTATTTATATGGCCCAATATTTATAAAAGTATTTAATATGTTTCTCCTCGAGTTATGCTATTTGGATTATTTCTTAACTTCCTTGTAGAATACTTACAAACAAATAAAGTTCATATGTTTAAGGTCGTTTGATATACAAACGATTTATTTATTTATTAACTTGTAAACATCTTAAAAGAATCTGATATGGCTACTGCATGACTTCCTTGAACACCAATTAAATTATGCACGTTTTTTGCTGCACTTCATTTAAACTTATTTCATTTGAAAGTGAGATACGATCTTCCAATTCAGAGTGCCCTTTTGGCACATTTCAACATTCTACAGCTAATTGGGTTTGAGCTGTGCAAGATGCATGCGTATTTACAGATATCATGCCTAAGCTAGTCAAAAGTCCCAAATATAAAATTTTAGCATTTTATGGCTAACTGTTTTCGAGTTATGCGACACACACACATATAGACGTCACAGTGTGACTACTCAAAATGGAGTCAGGAAAGGTCAATATGGATATTTCCTTTGAAATATGAAAACTGAAATTTTTCGTGATCGTAATGCTTAATACAAGAAAGTATAAATGGTAGGTCATTCATATATGTGAAGCCATTTTGTATTTGGACCAGTATGATATTTCATTTAACCAGGAATGTAGCCTTGATATGCAGCTTATATGAACACTTGCTCATCAAAAGGACTTTTATATGCATTGTTTGCTAAGCTTTTGAGAAGAAAAAAAATCAGTGAACAATTTCAGCTATTCTTAAACTGCCACTGAACACATCTGCCAACAGATAATGATATTAAAATCCCATTTTAACTCCATTTTCTTAATTATTAATAATGAAAACCTTAAAATTATAAGCGTTGATTGAGTTAACGTTGTATTCCAACTAGTCGGCATTGCTTAAACTGTTAACCAAAATTATATCATATATTGCTAACTAGTAGCAAATTTATTATGTGATCTAAAGAATTATTTAAGTCCAGTAGTTTAATCTGGAATAAACTTAAAATCTTTGAAAATTAAATGTAAACATAACATCAAAATAAGTTGCAAATAATATGTATTCGAAAATTGGTACACAAAGGAGAAAAATTCTCTCAAATTTCTTTTGACTATGTTTATTAAAAAATATTTTCATAAAAAATATCTGTAAAGAAGATAAGATTAATTTTTCGCCATTTACAAAGCAATTCCATAAAGAAACTGGAAATTTAAAACATTTTACATAGTTTGTATTAATGATGCATATTGACTACCTTTCTATACTTGACACATATCCTGAATAAGCTGATACAGAGCATGGATGTTAATATAAGAACTATAAAGTAGCCAAATAAAATCTCGTTCTGCTAGCACTGTTCTGAAGAAACCATGGGGGGGGGGGAACTAATCTCACTAGCTAAATTCAGTGGAAGGTGAAATTTTCTTAATTAAATCTGCATGAAACCTTGCCCGGTCTTTGCTGTTTTTGCAAAAGACCAATGAAGTATACACAAATAATTTTATTGTGTTTTACTAAGAAAGCTGCACTTCTTGGGTGGCTAAAACTGCATCCTTGATTCTTTTTGCTGATTTTGTAGCAGAACATGTGTCTCTACACATACGCATTTACTTTATTGTCTTCCCTTAATTCCAGTAATTGGGCTATATCCTTTTCCAGTTATTGGGTCATATCATTAAAATGGCTGTATACTTTCTTTGTTAGAGTATTGCTCTGATTTGAAATATTTTTCTATATTTTTAGCTCTATTTTATTAGTGATATGTACTTGATGAGTTTATATCTATGGAATGGTTGTTTGTTAATTTTAGGTATCTTAGCAATTTGGAATATTTTTGTGTTGAACAAAAGATTCTAATCTGATGTGGTTAGAATTTGAGGCAGACTTATGAGATAAAGCAGTCTTATGAGGTGCTGGTATCATAAATTTATGTAAGAAATAATGAAATTAGAGTTGCATTAAAACAATAATGCAGTCAAGTAGGTCTTGTTCTGAATCTTAATGTATGATTATATGTAAGTGTTCTTTTAAATGAGTAAAAAAGTTTTATAAATTATGTTAGTTTTATTTTTGTTAGTTTCTGATGGATAAGAATTTTTTGTAAAATACAAATAATCATTTTATTAAATATGGAATTAAGTTCTGTCACATCTTTAACAAATGTTTGCTTCATCTGGTTGTAATGGCAATTGAAAAGGGATGTTTGTAAACTGACTCAGATATGCTTACTTACAAATCATTCAAAGTTTGAGAAATTCAGTTGCTGTATAAAGTATTTCTCCTGCCTTTCTAGCGTCCTTTCGTGGTGTAGTGGATCTGCACACTGGGCCGGAATTTCAGAGGTTCGCGATTCGATTTCCAAGCGAAGGCGTTGCTAATTTTTCATCTTGCCTGCTTCCAAAAAAAAAAAAAAAAAAAATCCTAATGTCTCTATAGCAGTACTGCATGTAGCCATTAGACTTCCTATAAAGTAATGTTTATCTACAATGTATATCATAAAATCTTTGCCTTGCTCTTATGTAAACCTAATTAATTCTCAATAAGCCACTTTCGTTTTTGTGATGAAACATATAAGTTAACTGATATTTATCTATTTTCTGCCTTGTGAAAGCAGCAGAAAAGTGATTAAATTTTGAACATGTATTAAAAGAAGCAGCATTCAATGATGTATTTGCAAAATTATACCATCATTATTATATTATATACATTGCAAAAAGTGTTTTTTATATGTTATATCCCTAACTTGAATCTCCTGGTCATCAAACTAAATAAAGCAATCAGTTCTTTCAAACTTCTGCCAGAACTATTGGTGCAACTTTGGTAAGATCTTTGCCAACTTTCAAGGTTTATGTGTTTTGTAATCGAATAAGATATTTTACTTCCATATGTTTAAGGGTCATGAAATACATCAATTGTTATGTCTTGGATGCATTGCCCCCCTTCCAAATCTTAAATAATTTTAAATGTAGACTTTTGTTATTAATTTAATTACTGCCTTATATAATTCTTAAAATCCTCTCCATTTTTGCAAAACAGAATGGTTGTTTAAAATCTTTTATTTTAAAGTTTCTGAAATTCATTTGATAATCAGGTAGCTGCAAGATCATGAATGCAATACTATTAATATAAAATCTCCGATAATGTTTAGATCTACTTGTTGTTTACATACAATGTAGTATATCCATCTTTTGTTCTTTTCTTTTTTTTTTTTTTTTTTTTTTTTTTTTTTTTATCTAGTTTGATCGAGTAATTTTCTGCCTTTTCTTGCCTGTGGATGTCAAAATATATGAATCGCTGACACAGCAGTATTTTCCAGTCTAAAAGGTAAGGTAAAGTATAGATCAGTGTATGTCTTTCAAAATAGAGGTTTTTAATATATTCTAATCCAAATTTAAAAAGGAAAGGAAACTGTATTTCTTAAAATTCTAATAGATAACATACATGGTAATATATGATATATATCTCTATAGATAAAGTGGTACTCATGTGAAATCCACTCAACCCTCCTACAAGTGTAGTAATAAAATATAATGTACATAACAGGGGTTCTCAACCTTTTTAATTCCATGCATCTCTTTCATCATCACTAGACCATCAGTCCTTCCCTTCCTTTTCAAACCTTGAAAAATATATATACGTTTATTTAAATTATTTTCTAATGCGTTTTATAAATAAACAAGAAAAATTATAGATATTGTTGATAAATACCAAAACTGCAACAGAAGATTTTTTTAAATATATTCATAAACTAAAACTAAATACTTAACAGCTGACCTCATCCCTCCTGAAACTATGAAATTCCCCTTAGTTGAGAACCCTGGTATGTAGCAAGAAAAAAGATATTTAAAGGTTAAAAAATTTATTTTCATATTGCATCAAAAGGAGTATTTTCAACAAAAATTTAGTAACTTTTTTTTAAAAAAAATCATGTGAGTAACTGTAGTATACCCCTCATGAAATAAAGGGGGCAAAAGAGGATTCACATCACATTCAGTTAACAATTTCAACAACACTAAACACTGTAGAAGTTTGGTTTATAGAGTTGGGGGGGGGGTGATATAACTCTTCCACTTATTTGTTGCCTTGTAAATCTTTGATCTATTTCCATGCAGATTAATTATTATTTATTTTATAAATTCATAGGAATGGGAATTAACCAATTATCCATAACTCATTAATTCATATATCTGCAAATTTCAAAAATAGGCAAAACTCAACCTTAGTTTGGACGCTAGGAAAAGTTTCAGTTTGGGATAGGTGATATAACGCTTTCTTCATATGGAGCTTAATAATGTGTATGGAGCTTTTAGGTATCTAGGTATCCTTCTTCCTGTATTGAATTTTAAAAAGCTTTTATATGCAATATCTTCTGTTTAACAGCTTTAGAGAATTTGCAACTTGTACTTGTATTTTTCAGTTCAGACTGAAAATGCATAGAAGTATAATTATAACATCATTTCCCAATTTGTCTTCATTGAGACACTTTTTAGTAACATCTTAGTCATAATCTTGTGGTTGTAAGTTTTAATGCCTCCTTTTTATATGCCCTTTGGTTAGTTGAAACAGTTGCAAATTTGGGGAAAGCATGAACATTTATGACTTTCATGTCTGTATGATATAAGGGCATTTGAAAACTATCAGTCTGAAAATAACTTTGCATTCTTGATAGCAAAAGAAGAGTTTTTGCGATCTTAAGATACCATCTGCTGTGGTGTTTTAATCCAAACTATGATAATTTTATCAAAAAAATGTACCAATGTCCAAATTTTGTGATCAGCAATAATTAATCAGTCTTATTATTTTTAGTGGACTTGCAGATTTGATTTTTGAATGAAAATAATATGCTCAAAATTTATCCATTTGTAATTTATTATCATTAAGAGTGATTTACATAATGTAAATTTTGATGCTTTTTTAATGTAAACATTGCCAGATTTAACTGAAGTTCAATAATTACGAGAGCTGGCTGCTTATTGTATTGTGCTTTTTTGTGAGAATGTATACAATCAGTTCTTCTTAGAAAGTCTTCAATGAAGACATCTTCTTCAAGAAAGTTAATCTTTAAGTACTTTGTTGTAACATTGTATATTTTTTAGAAATGCATCTACTGCACAATAGCTTTTTTTCTGGAAATGTATGTGCTACATTGTGCAGTGCTTATGTAATTCATTTTCTGCACTTCCTTCTTCTAAATATCGTATGTTATGTGATATAAACTGTTTTTATTGCTTCACATTAAAAATTAATGAAAGGAATAATTTTCTTTTGTGATGTAATTGTTAGACAATTTGAGAGAAATATATAATTTTTTATGTGAATTGTTTTAGAAAGTAATGGTAAAATTTTTTAATGTAAGTTTTATAATGCTATGTTCATATTTTTTTGTAGGTACATGGAAAATACTAGGAATAATGCTTTTGAAACTTTGTGCATTGGATTCTTAGTCAGTCATCTAATGCATCTTCAGTGAAATTTTCTCTAAATATATGTTATATTGTAAAAATTGTTAATTCTTTAACTGCTCTGCATTAAATTGTTTCTCATAAAAATGTTTGTTTCATTTTTATTGAATTTGTGGTTTTTATGCAAGTCATTGATTATATGTAATCTAAATTTTTGTAGCCTTTCTTTGTCAACTTACCGTGTAATCAGGAATGCTGTTCACATCCTGAGATTTTAACTTTTAAATTTCAGGAAAAACTTTTTTACTCCTGTAGAAGTGTCTGAATTTTTTTTAAACTTTAAATTTGACATTGTTTTATATCTCTTTTGATTACATGAAAAGTGAGTTTGGCCAAATTATTAGTTTAATTAACAAGGAGAAGAATTGCTGTAAGCGTCTTGAACTGCAGATGTATGACTGGGAATAGATGAATAAAGATTTTGTATGCAAGGCAGAGGTATTTAATTCAGCAGCGAAAAGTAACAAAAGTGGAGGTAGATATCAAGTTGCTGTCTGCCAGCCTACAAATTTCCATAAGTATTATTGAAATTTGATGACTAGAAATGCCAAATTAACATCTAGATTTTACCATGATTGTTTCTTTAATTTTTTTTTTTTTTTTTTTTTTTTTTTTAATGATAAGGTCAGTATTCTCTTGTGCGGGAAGGATAAGAAAGACTGCTTATACTAGAAGATGAATTAAGAAGCTATTAGAATATCCAGATATGTCTTGTCTATAACAAGATTTTTATAGAGTAAAAGGTTTCAAGCCATCATAAATTGAAAACAAGCTCTGTAGTAAAGCAGAAAAGTTTGGTTGTCGTAAAGTCATTCGTGAACTCTTCTTATAATGGGAATATAAATAAATATCGATTCCTAAGGTAAAATTGCATATACCAGTCATAGTTTCAGATTAGATGCTCTTTGCAGCATTCTGTGCATATGTGAGAATGAAAGTTTAGTACATTGACCTATCAGTATTTATTTGCACTTTTTTTTTAACAGAAACTGCATTTTTGATGTACAGTTTCTGTGCAAGAGAGTAGGAATGGCAATGGTTTTAATCAGATAATTTCATGTCAGATTTTAGTATTTTCATAAATGGCAGATTCTGCATTCTTTATGAAGTGCAAAGGAAAAAGCTGTAGAATTGTTTACTGTAAAATTAAACTGGTCCAGTTGTAACTGTTTTGCATAAAATGGTTTTTAGATGTTTAATTCAAAACTGCATCCCAAAACCAGATTGCACTTTAAGTGTTATTTATTTATTTGTTTTCAGATTTAATGGGAAAGTCTTGGAGGTGTTTGACCATAAGTTTTGTGGCTGTGCTATTTACTGGAGGTGGGGGAAAATGATTTATATGACTTAGTTAAAAGGCATGAAACATGCTCTCAATATTGTTTCCATAGAATTGCTCTTCATTTGCATGTTGAGCATGCACTTGCACGATCGTACATTGTTCTCTACATATTGTTCTGTGCGTACGGGTTCGTTTGAAATGAATGCACAAGTCCGATGAAAAATGAACAAAAATTTATTATTATCACAAGAAATATGCTTAAATTTCCTCAAATTATCGTGCAGTATTACAATATCTCACAGTAGTTATCTTTTAACCACTCAAATGTTCAATAGAACTTAAGTCCAAAACAGCTAAAGCTACAATCAAGAGCAGTTTTCTAAACAACAACAAACTAAGTTTTCCTCCTTTTTATAAGATTTTAAAATCACGTGCGAGAATTTTCTAGTACTTTCTCAAAATCAAAAAGAGATATTTATTAAATATTAAATGCATGTGCTCTTGTATTGGAAATAGAACCATTTAATTTATAATTGAACTAACATTAGCTTTTTAAATACCAAATTCGTAACACTGCCCCCTTCCCAAGGACTGCAGTCCCGGGCAGTACAATCCCTGGACAGGAAGCCAAACTTACAACTAAGGCATGAATACAATAATAAGCATTACATTACAATAATAAACAACATGAACAATAAATGCAATAAATAAATCAAATGCTATCAAGTACTAAATACAAAACAAATACTAAATACACATTTAAAAACAAAAAGGACCATAGTCTTATGCTATTTATAATTATTTACACTGGCCATAGTAATGAGCTAACCTGTCGTAATGAACGACTTTAGGTTTAGAGTTCGAAGACTTACGGATCCGAACCACGACGTCATTCAGCCTGTTTAGGACCATGTACGGACCATCCCAAGGCGACTGTAATTTCGGACAAAGTCCTTTCCGTCCTGTCGGATTCCACAACCACACCTTCGTGGAATTGATGTTCAGTAGCTCTTCTGTCGTAGTGGATCTTCATCTTCTCCATCGCCAAGTTGACTCGCTCTCGTGCACAGTTGTGCATCACTTCAAACCGAGCCTGGAGATCTTGAATATATTCCTCAGGCGATGAAGGAACATCCGGAGGGCGACCAAACAAGAGATCACAAGGCAGACGAAGGTCACGACCGAAGAGCATCTGTGATGGGGAATAGCCGGTAGTCTCGTGGACAGTACTGTGGTAAGCCAGTAAAAACAATGGTAATTTCTTGTCCCAATCCTGTTGGTTTCTGGAAACCACTAATGAGAGGTTATTAAGGATGGTTTGGTTAAACCTCTCTACCATGCCGTCCGACTTGGGATGTAATGGCGTCGTTTGGGTTTTGTCAATGCCGAGTAGTTTGCAGAGTTCTTTGATTACTGCCGAAGTAGAATTCCTTTCCTGATCGGAATGTAACTGAAAAGGCACTCCGAATCTGGAAATCCAGTGCTGTATCATCACCTCAGCTTATGTAACAGCCTCTTGATCGGGAATAGGATACGCTTCAGGCCACTTGGTGAAGTAATCAATGACAACGAGTATGTATTAGTTGCTATCAGCAGTTCGTCGCAGAGGTCCCAAGATGTCAAAGGTGATATGTTCAAACGGCGCACCTACGTTGTAATGTTGCAGCTTGCCTCGGCTGCGTTTCCTCGGTCCTTTCCGACCTGCACAGGCATCGCAAGATCGGCACCACTTTTTCACGTCATCCTTTGCATTATTCCAGTAAAAGCGCTCACGAACTCTCTGTAAGGTCTTCATTATTCCAAAATGGCCTCCTGTAGGGCTGCTATGTAATTCTTTAAGGACATCAGGAATGCTGGATCTTGGAAGTATCAGTTGCCATCGAAACATCTTCCCATCATCCAATTCGAATTTATGGTATAAGACGCCGTTTCGAATGTGAAGTAAATCCCAGAGTGCCCAGTATTGTTTTGTTGTAGGACTACAGATAGAAATGTCATGCCAGATAGATTTTCTGTTTGATGACTCCATTAAATCAATTATGGGTTTAATGTCGCGGTCTTCCAGCTGGTCTTTCCGGACTTCATTATCACTCCACGGGTCTCGATCAGCCGATGTTGATGTCATAATTTGTCTTGCGACCGGGGTCAGCAGCTCGTACAGTCAAAAGTCGTTAATTCGGACACCCATAATCCGGACTTCAAAGCTAAAAACTTTCTGCGCATGCGCCGCGTTGACACATGCGCATAGGCGTTTACGCGTGCGCATAAGACCTCTTACGACCACGCATTTGCGTGTGCGCAAGCGCAGAATACGTTTTCGCGTGCGCGTTTTATGTATAACGGACGGTATAAGCTAAAATTATCTAATTATCTATTTCAGTTAATGTTCATGATTGCGTTATTCCTTAATTTCCAATTGGATCCGGCTTATTATTTTTTGCAGACTGTAAGAGCAATACTATAAAAGTAAACTTGAACTTTCGATTATGTCAAATAGAATTTCCGATTCTGGAGCTCCCAAAGGATCGTACAAAACGAAAGTATGTTTCGATGTCCATCAAACAAAAAGTGGAATTGCTGCAAAAAATGGGTAAAGACATGAAGAATGTGACAGACAGGTTAATGAAAACGAAAAAATTTCGATTGACAAGTTAGTCGGTATTCTCGGCACAGCAATTAACGGGACTTGAAGAACAAAAACTGAACTTTGTAACTGAACAAAAAATTATGTCTGTTTATAGAATTAAAGAGAAAATATTATCACATAAAACGAAGCAAATTAAACAACTTACATTGAAAGAAATGTTTAATAAAGTAAACAAATAAATATTAAGCTTTTTTTTGTAAATTTTGATACCGTTTAGATCATAATTGTTCTTTATTTCATAAATTACGTTTCATAGTTTTAATTTTAGAATTTCTGCATGCCATCTTACGAGATTTAAACTGATGATCTATAATCCGGAATCCCCGACGAGTCCGGATTAACGACTTTTGACTGTATTTCGCTTCCACCCTGGAACAAATATCGGCAGCATTCTGGACAAGGTCATCTAGACAGAGCGTTGGCGTTCCCGTGTGATGATTCCTTATGATGACAGATAATGATGTCATGCTCTTGGAGTCTCTGTATTTATCGCGAACAACTCTTTCCTAGTGACACAGAAATTCCTCTCCGGTTTACACAGGCACTTGCTCCAGTAAGCTACTACACGTTCTTGGCCGTCTATTTCTTGGGACAAAACAGCACCGACACTTTAATTGCTCGCGTCCGTGTCGAGAATAAATGGTCTATCGAGCTGAGGGTACGTCAGGATCGGAGCAGATGTTAAAGCTTCCTTTAAGTTGTTAAATGCATCCTCGCAATTTTTTGTCCACAAGAACCTTTGCTTCTTCTCTGTCAGCTTGTGAAGGGGTCTTGCGATGGAAGAAAAGTCCTTCACGAATCTCCTATATTAGGTGCAAAGCCCTAGGAAGCTTCTCAGCTGATGGACGTTTCCAGGATTTAACGGGTGACACCTTTTCAGGATCCTTGCACACACCTTCTGCAGTGATGACATGTCCGAGATAAGTCACTTCCTTTCGGAACAATTTGCATTTAGCGGGACTCAGCTTCAGATTGGCTTCTTTCAGTTTCTGAAGCTCCTTCCTAAGATTTTCTAAATGTTCTTCAAAACTCTTTCCGACGATGATGATGTCGTCCAGGTATATCAGGCAGGCTCCGTAGGAAAGACCTTTCAAAACAGTCTCCATGAGGCGTTCCAATGCTGCCGGCGCATTGCACAGTCCAAACGGCATCACCTTG